GTGTAAAATATTTATTTATTTTTCAAAAATTTTTTTTTTTTTAGAAGTAAGTGAATCTGAATCAGAAGCAGAAGACAATACAACTTTTACCAAAGCAGTGTCTGATACTGCAACTACCGAAACCAAATCAGCTAAATCTCAAATTCAAGAAGAAGATGCAGGAAGTGAAGATTCAACTGATTGGGGGTCTGACTCTGACAGCGATTCTGACAGCAGTGAAGATGATGCTCAATACACGACTATCAGAGAAAGATTTTTAAAAAGGTATTAATCAGTATTATTATTGTACTTTATGTGTTATCAAAAATTATTTTTCCATCAGAGATCTCTTTTTATTTAAATGTTTTATATTTATTTAAAAATTTTTTTTTTTAACTTTACAGAACAACAGATAAAGAAGAAGAAGAAAAAAAGAAAAAAGAAAAAAAAGAAAGGAAAGAAAAAGAACGTATTAAAAAAACTCAAAGGGAAGAAGAAGAAGATGAAGGAGAATGGGAAACTGTTAAAGGAGGAGTTGCAATTTTATCAGAGAAACCTAAAATGTTTCCTAAAGATGCTGAAATCGATGTAAACGTTGTTGTGAAAAAATTAAATGAAATAGTTGCTGCAAGAGGTGTGTGTGTGTGTGTGTTTTCCTAAATAAGTTTTCAGATAATTTAACTTTACATTATTACAAATGTTTATTATTTAAATATTTTATAGTTTTGAATCAATTACAAATACAAATGAAATAATATAATATAAAAACAAAATTTTTATAGGTAAAAAGAGTACCGATCGGAAAGAACAGATAGAGCTGTTACATGAACTTCAAGCTGTTGCCGACCAACATAAATTGGGTGCTGCTGTTGCAGTAAAAATTAAATTTTCGATTGTTACTGCAATTTTCGATTATAATCCTCGTGTGTCGGATGCTATGAAACCAGAATATTGGTCGAAGTAAATTTTTCAACGTTAAAAATAATATTTAATAAATTATTAATATTTCATTAATTTTAAAATTAAATTATTTCAATTTTTAGACTTTTAGAAAGAGTGTCAGAGTTAATGGATATGTTACTCGCTGAAAAAGACATAATAATCGGAGAACACATACTGGAAGAAAATGAAAGCTTTGATAAAGTACCATACAAACTCAGGGGATGTACACTGATAATGGTGGAACGACTCGATGAAGAATTTATAAAATTGCTTAAAGAATGCGATCCGCATAGTAATGAATACGTCGAAAGGTATTAAACACAAAAATTATTATTAATTCGTAGTTTATTTCACGTAGTTGAGTAAATTTTTTTTTTTTTT